CAAATTGAGGTCCAAATCCTCAATTTTTGAAAAACCTAGGTTCTACCCAAAACCTCCAATTTCACCCATGAAAATCATTGATTCTAAGTGAAAAACATGTTAAATAATGTTAATGAGTGAAAGAATTAAGTAGAAATTGACTTACAAATGATTTGGGATGAAACTTGTTCTTGAAAAATCGCTTAAGGAGTTGTATTTTGAAAGTGGGGTGAAAAATGGCCTAAAATTCGACTAAGTATGAAAATTGCTGGGTTGCAGATATGGGAATTGCGAACTGGGGTTCACAATTGTGAACCCTGACCATTTGTGGGAAATGCGAAGCTGGGTTCGCATTTGCGAACGCTTCCCATTTTGCCAGGCCTCGCATCTGCGATGAAAAGGTCGCATTTGCGACCCATTGAGTTTCGCATTTGCGAGAAACAAGATCGCATTTGCGATCAGTAGGCCAAGTCCCAGGCTTCGCAATTGCGATACAAAACTCGCATTTGCGAGCTCGCAATTGCGAGACACATCTTCGCTAATGTGATAATCACAGAAGAAGCATACCAGATTTTTATTAAGTTTAAAAATGCACTCCGACACCTATCCAAAACTCACCCGAGCCCTCGGGGCTCCAAACCAAATATGCACACAACCTCAAAAATATCCTACGGACTTACTCGCGTGATCAAATCGCCAAAATAACATCATATACATCGAATCAAGCCTCAAAACTCATGATTTCTTCCAAATTTTCATAAAACATCAATTTTTCCATTTTAAGTCTGAAAGCGCTTAAACCATATATAAGACTTGTACCGGGCGCCGGAACCAAAATACGAGCCCGATACCATAGTCTTTTAATCTAATTTTATTTTCATTTTCCTTAATCATTTTCAGAAAATAATTTCACACAAAAATTCATTTCTCGGGCTTGGGACATCGGAATTCGATTCCGGGCATACACCCAAGTCCCATATTTTCCTACGGACCCTCCGGGACCGTTAAATCACGGGCCCGGGTCCGTTTACCCAAAATATTGACCGAAGTCAAATTTATTCATTTTAATATCAAAATTTAGCATTTTTCTCACAAAATTCATATTTAAGCCTTCTGGCTACGCGCCCGGACTGCGCACGCAAATCGAGGTAACCCTAAATGGGGTTTTCAAGGCCTCGGAAGTACAAAATGGGTAAGAAAACATGTGATGACCCTTTGGGGCGTCACATTCTCCACCTCTAAAACAACCGTTCGTCCTCGAACGGACAAAAGAAAGAAGTACCTGAGTCGGGGAAAAGATGAGGATAACGACTTCGCATATCGGACTCGGACTCCCAGGTCGATGCCTCAGGAGGATGACCTCTCCACTGAATACGAACAGAAGGGAAACTCTTGTATCTCAACTGACGAACCTGCCGGTCTAGAATAGCTACCGACTCCTCCTCATAAGACAGATCCTTGTCCAAGTGGTCCTTTAACTCTTTCAACTCCGGCGGGGCCATACGATATGGCTGAATAGAAATGGGCTGAGTGCCCGTAGCCAGATCAATGTAGAAATCTATATCCCTGTTGGGTGGCATACCCGGCAGGTCTGAAGGAAAAACATCAGGGAAATCACGAACAACGGGCACAGAATCGATAGAGGGAACCTCAGCACTGGAATCCCGAACATAAGCTAAATAAGCCAAACACCCCTTCTCGACCATACGCCGAGCCTTCACATACGATATGACACTGCGGGTAGAATGACCTGGAGTCCCTCTCTACTCTAAACGAGGCATACCCGGTAAAGCTAAGGTCACCGTCTGGCATGGCAGTCCAAGATAGCGTGATAACCAGTCCATCCCCAATATAATATCAAAGTCGACCACATCTAAAAGCAATAGATCTACACGAGTCTCCAAACCCCCAATCACCACAATACAAGAGCGATGGACTCGATCGACCACGATGTAATCACCCACCGGCGTAGACACATAAACAGGAATACTCAATGCATCACTAGGCATGATCAAACACGGGGCAAAATAGGATGACACATACGTATACGTAGACCCCGGATCAAACAACACTGAAGCATCTCTATCACAAACCAGAACCGTACCTGTAATAACCGCATTTGAAGCCTCTGCCTTGGGCCTAGCCTGAAGAGCATAACATCGGGGCTGGGCCCCACTACTCTGATCTACCTCTCTGGGACGGCCTGCTGCTAGCTGGCCTCCACCTCTGGCGGTCTGAGCTCCACCTCTATGACATCTACCTCCACCTCTAGTACCTCTACCCCCGCCTCTAGCTGGCTGGGCGGCCTGTGAAACATCTTGTGCCTGAATCATAGGACGGGGACCCTGCTGCTGAGAACTGCTGCTGAGAACTGCTGAGAACTGCTGCTGAGATATAGATTTTCTCATCTTTCCTCTCACACTCTTTCCCTCTCTCCCTGGTCGGAAAGAGATGTCTCAAATCTAATCAAATAAAGAATTGTGCACAAATTACAGTACATAAATTAATTATATTGAGATGGATAATTTTTTGTTTCCTTTTTGGTATAACTATATTGTTTTACTGAAAGAGATACAAAACCAAATATTTTCACTTTCTACATATAAATTATGATCCTTTATTCTGGCATTGATTTAGGAATTTGATGTCTCTATCAAAGGGAAAAGGTCTACCAACGGCATAGGCATCATTGACATTCTTCGAAGAAATTGACTTTTTTATTTATTTTTTACACAATTATTTAAGTGATTTGTTCACATAGTTTACAACAATAAATAAGAAGTCAAAAGATAACAATGAATTTTTTTTAAATAAGTTATTACTCCCTCCGGTTTATGTTATTAGTTTTTGAAGTTTTTTGCGCACCTCTTAAGAAATAAATGTGAAGTCTTAATCATAAAAGGTTTTATCTAAACTATCCTTTATCTAACAGTTTATTTAATTTATTTTTCACTAATTAGAGCAATATAAGGTGATTTGGGTAAAAAATATTAAATGTTTCTTATTTTCTAAAACATTAAATGTTGCGAAATAAATTCAGTTGGTCAGGAACAAACCATATGGACTGAAAGTATAGTATTTAAAACTCATAACATTACGATTTAAATTGCAGTAATTTGCTCCCACTAACATAATCTTAATTAAGACATTAATTATGTGGATATTTGTTTCCAACCATAATAATGATAATAGCAAAAAGGAAATAAAGAAGATTTTTGATACATGCACTCATGTCTCACAATAAAGTATGTCAGCATAATTAGGGTCAAGTTGGAGGTTGGGAGTTTGAAAAGGTACTCGAATTGCATATCTATTAGTATATTGCAAAAATGACCATTTTTTTTAGGGGAATCATTAAAAGCTAGAAAAAAAATATATTAGAATTATCCTACTTGATTTCTAAAAATATGAAATAGTAGATGGTGTGGCCAACCTTATCAAATATGAAACGCGTTACTTATAAGTAAGTAGTAGGTTGGCCAGCTTTCATTTTCTTTATTTCCATTTTAATTGTTTGTATTAATGAAAAAATAAATATTGATGCAAGTTTTGTAACTATCATTGCCCCTTTTTGGAGCTATAGTTACTTCTATCCTTGGCTTTTCTAAAAAAGATTGATGTTTCCTACCAGAAAGAAAGAGATCGGTATAGTCGGACCTCTCAGTAACAACATCCCTATATAACAACACTTTACTATAAAAGCTAAGCTTTTTCGGAACCGATTTTCATGTTATGTTATATATAATATATACTTTATATAACAACACTTCGCTATAACATCCAAAAATATTCGGACCAAACGAGACTGTTATAGAGAGGTTTGACTGTATAACTAGATCAAACATCAACCAATTAAAAAAGGGAATAAGAAAAAAAAACAAAAATGATAAAATAATTGAAAATAACCACTGTTAAATAACATTATTGTGTTCATTTAAAGCTCTAAAGAAAATAATTGATGAAATTAAAGTGAACCCAACTAAATTAGGTACACTGGCTTTCCTTGATGTACATTATGTAGTTGGGATATTTAAATGACTTTGCACCATTTGTATTAAGTTTGTGTACCTTGATCACATGACAAATGTAAACAAATTAAGGGGAATTTGAAAGTTTCTTGCGTCCACATTCAAAAAGAAAAAAGTTACTAATATTTATCTTTTTTTTTTTTGAGTGTGTGTGTGTTTGTATTTTTTTTTTTTTTGTCACATAAGAAAACTTGGATCATTTCGAACCAAAGATTGTTAAGTTGGTTATGCAACTTAATATATAAGGATCAACTTCTAAATATTCACTATGCTACACTAGTTCTTGCCGCAAAATGATCCATGTGAAATTGCAAATTCTTATTAGAAATTGTGCTTATTGACTAAGAAAATAGTAAATGTAATTTCATAATAACTTGTGCAAAAGCAAAAAGAATCCATTAATTTTTTCTCCATAAAGATAATCTATAAAAATATGATGAATATCCAAGAGTATTCTCTCTAGAGCATTAATTAAAAAATAGGGTAAAATATAACAAAGACAATTTACATAATGAAAGAAATATGAATATCATGAAGGATAACGCAATACAATATTAGAAAAGTTAGAACAATAATCAAGTTATTAGTCCATTGTCTGTAAAACCAAACTCAATCACACGTTTCAAACTGATGGGCGTTATTAGTTAACTGTATAAAACTATGATGGTTGCTTTTAATTTCAATTGAAAATACAAAATTATAAAGTAAAACTATTAAAAACAAAGTTAGATTTCAATAATAGCAACCTCATTTTTATCATATCAATTAGGTTAAGATTCTAATTCAATCCAAAACCTTTTATTCTTTCACAAGAAAGAAATGAAAGAAAAACAAACTAAAAATATTAACCCAAAGAGGAAGCAAAATATGTTAACTACTTATATTCTTTTCCCTCCAAAAGAATAAATATGAACATAAAGGAAAATGGCAAAAATAAAGAAAGAGAGACATAAGGTCGACGTGTAAGAAAAAGAATGGAAAGAAAGAGCAAAAAGGAAAAGCTCAATTTTAGGAAAGAAGTGAGAGAAAGCACCAATTTCTTCACCATCAACTCTCTCTCTCTCTCTCTCTCTCTAACTTCCTTGCTTGACTCTCGGTTTTCTGTTACCCAATCTTCTCCCATTTCCAAACTAAGAAACAAACACTAAGATTTCTCTCTTTCCTTTTACAACATTTTCTTGTTTCTTTTTACTGTGAATTTTTTTTGGTTTTGATTGAAAAGGTGACATTTTGTCTGATCCCCACTTCTTGAAATTGCATTATAATCTCGTATTTAACGTTTTATTGGACAATGTTGTCTTACATTGTTGATGGGTCTGAATCTTGATTCATAATTGTTTCCTAAATGCAGGAACTTTTTTGAATTGGTGCTGCTCATCAATATTAACGAATGTTATTCTCAATTAAACCATGACTAATCGCAATGCTGATGCTAATAAGGTTCCTAATTCTCATCACAATGTCTGCATTATTATGTTTTGTGATTCTCTCTTTTTATTTGGGTATTTTCTTGGTATTACATTGTTGTATTATTCTTTTTTTGTTCCCCTTTAATTATCAGGTTGAAGGGGTTAATCAAACACCTCCACCACCTGGGGCCAATGATCAGGTTCGCGGCGGAAATAAGGTTAGTTAGTTTTGCTTTAGCATTCTAATGGTGCATGAATTAGAGAAGACCCCATCCCCTCCACTCCTCTTTTCACATGTACCTCTTAATTTCTTGGCATTTTTGGGTCAAAATGCTTATTGACATACTTAGATTTGATAAACGAACTCGATGCTTTGTATGCTAAGATTTGCAGAAAAGTCTCCTTTTTTTTTTTCTTCTGAAGAATTAACCCAAATAGCCGCCCACCTAATTTCTTAAACTAAAAATAGCCGGCAGATATATAATATATGTAAAATTCATGTATAATATGTGTATAACTGTGTAATCAATGTACAATTGATGTATACTGGCTAGAAAAAAATAGTGAATCTGGCCGGCTATTTGTGTAAAAAATGACGTAGCAAGCAACTGAGAACAAGTGTTTCATCTTGTAAGTTGTTAACAAACTTTAGATAAATTACTGTTTCTATGCTATTTCACGAGCATCAGTTTAGTGATAGAGATGTGTCCATTAGGAATGCAACCTGCTTATCAGATATAAAATTGATCCTTCAATTTGACCACACAAGAGTGACCCGTTTCCAGGTTAAATGTTCACTCTTTTATGCAGCTTTACGGAAAGCAGGTTTTCATTTCCATGCATTTGATATTTGCCTAATTACGTAGTTCAGTAAATTTATAGATTCTGGTTGATATACATTCTAAGGAAGATAATGATGGAGTTGACTGAAGATAAAAATTTGTTCTTGGCAGGTTTACAAAAGCGGTCCCCTGTTTTTATCATCAAGAGGTATGTCTTCTATGCTTAAAATTTTAAACATAGTTGCAAAAAGGAATGTGATTTCTCCTCTCTTGTTCTTATAACCCACTTTCACGCATTTGTTTCCTATTTAGTGTCTTGTTTTTTCTTTTGATTCAAAGTTATTTTATTTATTTATCTATCTTTTAGCTAAAAATGATGATTTCACTGTATTTTCATTTTCATGCAGACTGTTATATAAAGTGTTATTGAGAAAAGTATAACACTTTTTTCTGTTCTTTTCGATGGTCTGCTTTTTTGTTCTGTCCTGACAAACATTTTAGCTGCTTTTGTATCACATCGTGATCATATCACTTATTGGCTAATTTCTTAGTTAAAACAGAATACATACCTGGAGTTTCAAGCGTATACTGAGACATATTCTATATCTTTATCAGAAAGCAAGAAAAGAAACAAATATTTCTAATTGTATAAACTTTAGGTTTTAGTTGATGTTTCTGATGTCTGTTGCATGTAGGAATTGGATGGACATCATGGAAGAAGAGGTGGTTCATTTTAACTCGTACCTCATTGGTCTTCTACAGAACTGATCCTGTAAGTTTGACTTTGTGTACTGTATAATTGCTTACTACTTAGCAGAAACTAAGTTAGTTACCTGCTTATTATGCAAGTATTGGACTATAACCATATCACAGTTCATTGAATTCTTTAATGTATCTTCTTGGTTTCTTTTATTCTAACTCATTGTTTCAATGATTCATAAATTTGGATTTCACTATATACATATGTTATACAGGTGAGTAGTAAGAGTAGTATCTAAATGAGCTCCAAATGAGATTCTCGCTAAGTTTAAAGCTATCCAAAATGCGCAAAAAACAGAGGATTAGTTATATTCCAATAAGCGCAAAAAAAGTTATTGCACGCCAAATTTGTCTTTTTGTAATAAAGATGTACCAACTACTTTTGAACGTATCTACAATTAACATCACTACTCTCGGGCTTCCCAACTACTTCTGAATGTTACTACATTTAACGTCACCACTCTCAGACTACTGAAGACGGGTTAGAAATGAATTACTAGTCGGACTAATTCGCGAATCGAGCAAACTCCCCTTGCATGAACTGTGGTGGTGGTAAACCTTTCATTCTAATTCAGTGCTCTTTGAACCGTGCGGGAAGGTTTTCCTTCACATGGCTCAGCCGTCCCAATTTTAAAGCAATGTATTGAACAATGTTAGTAGATCCTTCACTCGACTTAACGTACTCAAATCGGATCCTCTCCTTTTCGATTTCTCAGGATTTCTTTTGGTCGTCTGAGCTTCTCCAGCATCCAGCTAGAATTTACAATTCAGATTTTACCTTGAAATTGTATTCTTGAATGACTTATTTTTTTCCCCTTGTGTGCATATTGACCGCGTGTCTTCTTGACAACATATTACAAGTGAATGACTTAGATATAAGTTTGAGGATTTAAGTACATAAATGGTTTCAGAAAAATTACATTTCACTTGCAATTTTATTTTGTATTCTCTGAAGATTTGCTAGTGTAGGCTGAAGCACAAACAATGGGAATGAACTTGTTCCTTGTTATATGTTAGGTTTGGATTTACATCTTTCCCTTATATTTTCTCTTGACATAGAGATCAATTGATGAAGAAATTATATCGTCGAATCCCATTCAGGTTCATAGTGTGGCATCTAGTTTGGAAAATCATTGGTTAGTTGAAATCATAGTGAGCTTATATTCCATCGGTTCATTTGGTAGCTTCGACCAATAATATTGGCTAAATATTAATCTGTTCCTAACTCCTATTTGTGTTTGATAAGTCCGTGAATCCTATTTGCTACCAATCATCTGATGCTTCAAAAGGCAATATCTTGTGTGCTCAATGGTCTCTTTTGACTTATTTAAAATTTTCTCGATGACTTTATGACCTTGACTGATTCTTTTCAGAATGCTACTCCTCAAAAGGGGAGCGAAGTGAATTTAACCCTGGGTGGTATTGATCTCAACAGTTCAGGCAGGTTGGCTTAGTATCTCTTGCTATGCTTAAGATAGTTCTTAGCGCCAGTTCCTTTTGCCAAGTAACACCAAAATGGTTAGTGATGCTATTTTTCTACATGAATTTTTCAGTGTTGTTGTCAAAGAAGATAAGAAACTGTTGACTGTGCTATTTCCTGATGGTCGTGACGGACGAGCTTTCACACTCAAGGTGCCTTTATTTGTGATTGCCTTTTTTCTCTTTTATAGTTTTATCAGTTTTTATTATTTGTCGTCATCCTTTGATTGAGTTTTTGTTTTCCCATACGACTCTATATATAGGGGAAGATCATGCTCCTTACTGGTTTCTGCTCTTGTTGTGGTAACCTAAGTCGTCAACTAGTTAATAGCTTAAGCTCAATTGTGTTATTTTTACTGTATAAGTATCTAATCATGATCCACAGACAGAAATCTGAAATAGAGATATTTGAAAGAACATGGTTTGGCAGAAACTTTGTATTATCAGTACATAATAAGTTGGAAGCTTGAGTTTATCAATTTGTTTTTTGTTACTACCAACTTATAGTTCTCATTAGTATTTTATTGAGAATTGAGAACATTCCCTCAATTTACCCACTTAATAATCGCCTAATTGGTAGTTTCAAGCTCAAAGACAGAGTGGTAACCAGCACGCGAAGTAGCTTTACTTGTACCAATTACTTTTCACATGGTAAAGTAACTGGTAAAGTTGCTATCATTTGACCAGGAGGTCACGGGTTCGATCTGTGGAAACAACCTCTTGCAGAATTGCAGGGTAAGGTTGCGTACAATAGAACCTTGTGGTCCGGCCCTTCCCTGGACCACTCATAGAGGGAGCTTTGTACACCGGGCTGCCCTCTTTTTTTAATGGTAACCAGCCCGTGAAGTAGCTTTTACTTGTACCAATTACTTTTTCACATGGTTTGTTCTCATGTTTAGTCATGCATCTCCTTGGTGGCCTTCCGCGTCTAAGGCAGGAATTCCTATCATGATAGTAATAAATTAATGACTCTAAAGTTCTTTTGGGTGGCCATTGTTTTCCAAAATTGGTTCACTCAACATTTTTGTTGTTATTTACATTGTTGCATTGTAGCATCATGACTATCATTAGCATTCTGGAATTCTGTTTCTGTAAGGTATAAAACTTAATATAGTCTATGAGCTCTGATTTCATAGGCGGAAACATTGGAGGATTTGCTTGAGTGGAAAACTGCACTTGAGGAAGCTTTGGCAAATGCACCTAGTGCTGCTCTTGTAATGGGCCAAAATGGAATATTTAGGAATGATCAGGCCAATGCTGTTGATGTTTCACTTGAGCAATGTAAGTTCTCATTCATCTTTTCTTAACGTGGCCAGCATCTGGTACGCATCTTGCAGGCCGAGGAATAAAATTGGAACCTACTTATAACGTAGCTTTAGTAATATTTCATTTATAAGCAATGTTTTTTCATTTACATTACCTTATAAAAAAAAAAGCAATGTTTTTTCATGAAAGGGAAAATAGTCAAGCTGGTTCTGTTCTTTATCTTGCTATTGCCATTCCTTGATCTGCGTTTGCCGTAAAATATAGTATTATACTTTTTCATGGATCTAATTTCGACTTCTTTTTATTTCATTTTACCTTCGTAGCAAATGATAGACAGCCAGTGAAGTCCATGGTCATTGGTCGGCCGGTTTTACTTGCTCTGGAAGATATTGATGGAACTCCATCTTTCCTGGAGAAAGCCCTGAGGTTTGTAGAAGAGCATGGTGAGCTTCTTCTACTGATTCAAATTACTATGGGATGGCTGCTTCTGTAACGTATTACTTTCTTGATGCTTCCGGCTTCAAATGTCAAATATCTCTTTCTTTTCTAAAGGATCATTTGTCAGTTGGGCCTATACCCTAGTGCATCTTCTTGCTTAAAGATGAAGAGAGGTAGTAGCCGTTTTTCTTTAAATCTGATGCATTTTGTGGTTCCAGCATCTATGTTTTGCCACATGGGTGAGTTTGAGATTGTCAAATTAGAGGATTCATAGTGGTCTAGAGGAAATGAGAGATCAATGTAGGTGGACTGCAGTTGTGCAATCCCATTCACTTTGGAAGGCTACTTTGCAATGAGATTTACTCATTTACTTATTGTCCATGTTATTAGGTGGCTGCAATCACTGTAATAGATTAATTTAGTAGGTCACTTTTCAAACCGGCTCAAGGCTTCAAAATTGAGATAAAATGTCAGAAAAGTTCAATACTAAAGTTTCACTTTCCTTGAGTCAGAATTGAATCTTTCACTAAGATTTTTCAAACATTTATCTATAACCATCACTCAATTAATACTTCTTATTTTTTTTACCAAAAAAAATTAATACTTCTCATTTTCTGGACTATTTATTTATTTGTTTATTGTTGGCTTGCTTGCTCATTGCATGGTGCTGATCTTTTACAATTTTTCCAGGGGTTAAAGTAGAAGGCATCCTGCGGCAAGCAGCAGATGTTGATGATGTTGAGCATCGGATACGGGAGTATGAACAGGGTATGCTACCTTGAAACTGAGAGGGTTTATTTATATCATGTTTTACTAGGTGTTGATACCATTAGTATCTGTTGAAAAAGTTTATGTTTTCTACATGTGTAATGTTTCTGAAAATGATTTGCCCTGGGCAAATGGTGAGTAGAATTATTTATTGCCTTAAAGGTTGCAATATTAAGCTTATTCCTGGTGGTCCACATCATTATTGTAAAGGCTCATAGTGAGCTGCATAGAGCTGTAGACTTTTGTGGATATAACTTTTTCTATGTGTACTTGAGCGGCTTCCTCTTTTTGGATGCAACTGAATTGTGACAGATGTGATGCAATTCTCATATCAGATCATTATTAGCTTAGTGTACAATTGTTGTTGGACATAGGGCTGTGAGAGGTTATTTACCTTTCTGGAATCTTTTACTTTTTTTTCTTCATGTGATTATTTTGTTTGTCTGAATTATGACAATTAAAGTCGGCACCTGTACAAGTGTTTCTTGTGTAGTTCACTTGGCTTACGATAAAAACTTTTGTTCTGTTAATCCAGGTAAAACTGACTTCTCTCCAGATGAGGATGCTCATATTATTGCCGATTGCGTCAAGGTATGTCCTTCAAAACACAAGTATGGGGTTTAGGTAAGAATGTTTGTATGAAAGTACTTTCTGAACTTGCTATCATCTTGATTTCTGCAGTACATACTGCGAGAGTTGCCATCATCTCCAGTTCCTGCATCTTGCTGCAATGCCCTTTTGGAAGCATTTAGTAAGTTTATTCTCTTAACGTTGGGCCCTTAGACTGCCTCTTTTCCTTCCGTGTCACAAGACAGCTCTCATAGAAGAAAGAAGAAGGATACCTTTTGTAATACTACTCCAGTATCTGTAGAGTTGTGTATATATACTTTCTTCATTGAATAGCATGACGTGCTTGATCCATTTTTCCTGAGGAAATATTTGCTAGAGCCCTTTGACAGTAAAGACGTGATATCTCGATTGCATTCAGCATGAGTGTTTTATTAAAACGGATTTGTGAAGTTTTTTGGTTTGGCCCTGCTGAAATTGTATCTGATTTCTCTTCGTTTTTTGAGAAACCTATGAACTTAATGTGTACATAAATGTCTCAAGCCTATCTACTTAAGTTGTTTCTCATGGTTCTCACTTCCATCCAACATAGGGCAGATGTTTGAGGGAATAAATAGCTTAAAATGCCTATACATCCAAATGATTTAGATGTATTAAGGTACCACATTATAACATGGTGCCTTTGTTACGTGATTCTCAACTTCTTTTTGTGAAATCAGGAGTGCTGTGATACAGTCTTTAGACCATCCTTCCATATGAAGTAGCTACTATTAGATTTATGTGCTGAAGCGAATGCATATTCAATTCACGCTTATCCAATTAAACTGGCACCAAATGAAATATACATATTTATGCATAGAGTTTATTTTTGCGCTGAAGTGAATGCACATTCAATTCATGCTTATCCAATTCAACTGGCACAAAATGAAATATACATATTTATGCATAGAGTTTATTTGCAAACTATGACTTCTTGGAAGCTGCTTGTCAATTTGGGCTTGAACTTTGTTCTGAGTCAGGTCAAAGCCAACAGAAAAAAGGATTTACAAATTGTCATCATATAAGTTTTATCCTAGCATGAATGTTGGCCTGAAGTGTTTCTGTGGCTTTCATCACGAGATTAGGGTATTTGTACATTTCCGATCAACAGCAATAGTTAGATGATTGGTACCTTGTGAATGTCATTTGTTAAAATGCTTTTGTGATTGTTGATAGGAACTGAGCGTGGCATTAGAGTCAACGCTATGCGTACAGCTATATTGGAGACATTTCCAGAACCAAACCGTCGGCTGCTGCAGAGGTTCTCTTTTCTTGCTGTTCCTGTTATTTGATTTTGTATGTGAAATTTCACAGTTCACTGGTTTCAGTGTACTCATTTAAACCGTTTTGGTATCAACAATATGGTGCTTTTTGGTCTGAACATTTTATTTCCCAGCAGCTAATTTCAGTTAGCTCAATGTATGTATCTACGTATTTAACACATGTGATGCTTTATCTGATGTTCATCAGGATTCTTATGATGATGCAAAGTGTGGTTTCTCACAAAACTCAAAATAGAATGAGCACATCAGCAGTGGCAGCTTGCATGGCACCTTTACTTCTTCGCCCACTTCTAGCTGGAGACTGTGAGCTAGGAAATGACTTTGCTATGAGTGGTGATAGCTCTGTTCAACTTCTGCAGGCAGCTGCTGCAGCCAACCATGCTCAAGCCATCGTCATCACATTGCTAGAGGAGTATGGCAAATTGTTTGGGGTATGGTTTACATCATCATCTTCAGTTCTGTACTTAGTTGCTTCTGCACCTGACTCTTATATTGAGCGGCGAACATGTTTGGTTCTTTTGGAAGCTCATAGTGATGTCATATCTTTCTGTTTTTAACCTTCTATATCCAGAAGAGAATGAAATCTTCTTTGTGGACCTCCTATTCTTTTCTCTTGGACTAAAGTTTTAAATCCTTGCAGGAAGGCTCTGTATCGCCTGAACTATACTCTGACTCAGATGGTAGTGGAACCGAGAGTGGAGAAGAATTTACTGATGATGATTACAGCTATGAAGAAGAAGAAGACGATGATGATGATGCAGAAGAGAGCTCTCATGCTGACGTTGATGATTCTGATCATGACTCCTGTGCAACAACCAATGAGGTTGGCGAAAGTGAAGACAGTAACAAGGTTATTTCTTTAGTGTCTTCACTGTTCTATTCTCAGCCTTCTTCTTTTGTTGAGGTACTGTGCGTTGTGTGATGCTGGAACTTCCCAGTCCCTCTTCCTACTTTTACCATTCATTCAGGTGCAGCAGGATAATTAGCTTCTCTAGTGATCCTTGAAAACTTGTGCTTTACTTGTTAATTGATTAATATTCTAGGTGGCTTGGAATAACTATGATACTGATCCTCACCAATTTATAAGGAAATAGCACTCTGTAGTTAGTTCTTGAGTTGGTTATTAAGAAATTGGCAAGTTTTCTCATAAATGCTTATTGATGAGGATTTAATTCTCCTCCTGTCTGGTGCTATGTGCAGCCCTCTTATGCTGCTTTCTAGTACATATTCATTGCTCCAGCCTAAGCTGGCTCTCACATAATGTAACTAACAAGAGTAATTATACAGAGCTCTCGAGTTTCTAAAGCTAGTTTAAAGACTCCTGAAGTGGACAGCGTCGTCAAAGCTAATGGGATCTCACCGACAAGTCTACCTCAAACTTCTGTTCAGCATGATGTCAATGAAGCGGGTGAGAACGTTCTGCCTCAAAGTCATGAAAATTCGAGAACACAAGGAAATGAATCTGGTGAACAAGTAGGACCTGGACATGTTGAAACATCTACTTCTCAAAAGTCAACGGATATATTAAATGGACCTCTGCGCAGTGTTCGCCGACCTGCTGTCTGGGGTCGTACTCCTGTGAGTACTATTGTCCTTTGGCTCACAGTTACTCAGCTCAGAGTGTGACTTGTTTTCTCATTTGCTACTATGGTTTTCCTTGGCCATATAATGCCCACACATTTTTGTTGCTTATGCATTTTCTAAACAAATCAAACGTGGATATCCATGTATTGACTTTGCATTTCTTTTATGACTAAAACATTGGTGTATTTTCTGATTTTTTTCATTTCTTGGTTTTTCTATCTGAGTTTAGGCCAAGAAGAACCTCTCCATGGAATCAATTGACATCCCCTTTGATGATGAGTAAGTGATGCATTTATCAAGAGTTAAAATTCATAATAAAGATGGTCAACCAAATATTCTAAAGAAAGGACGGCTACTAAATGAAAACAATGGGAGAACAATCACGTTTCATGTATAAGTACTAAGCTTACTTACTAAAGAATAGAAAGCTGCACATATCAAATATGATCATGCAAACAGCACTTGCACTCCCTGATGAAAAACCATGACTAATGATTCCTAACCCCAAGCACCCCTCACGGTTTATCCTGCCTCAAAAAGTGCCTTGCATTCTAAATTAATTTGGATGGATTTTACCATTAGGTAACTGTTATGTTTGGACTTGTTTCTAGGGATGAAATCCAGAGGCTTGAGGCTATTAAAAGTGACCTACAAACAAGGGTTGAAGAGGCGGTAAGTGTTATGAGATTCTCTTTTCTTAGGAAGTCTCATCAGTTTTCACATCTGAATTACCTTTCCATTATCTTTTGTTTAACTTTCTATATTTGGTCTTTGTGCTGCACGTTTCTCTTCATTATAGGTCAAAGGCAACGCCCTTTTGCATGAAAGTCTGGAGAAACGAAAGAATGCTTTGCATGAGCATCGTCTAACACTTGAAAAAGATGTAGGTGCTATTCTCCTTTCCTTTTCCTCTTATTGTTGGGTGCGAGTTGAACTTTTTACTGCTCATTCCTTCTTAATGAAACCTCGCTAGGATTTATTCAATCACGACCTAGGCCTATTAGGGATAGATACAACTCTTATCATAGCCAGAATTCTAAATTAGAGCCAACCGGTCGGAAGACTTGAGATGCTATTGCAGCTAGCTTGATGCCAGTGCATGAGACTGTCCAGATCTGAGATGCGTTTGCAGGTGGCCTTGATGCATTTGCATAAAAGGCTGTTGGTTTCCAACCTTGCTCACTGGTTGAGCTAAGCGATCACATAGCCTGGGTTGCTTTCGCACCTACTCTGGTGGACCCTTTAAAATAACTCAAGAATGATGAGCATTTTGTCAGGAGAGTCGCTGATATAATAATTTTTCCAGAAAGAGATTGTGCATTTACAAGTACTGATATGATTTTATTTAGATGGAGCAGAATATAGTCTAATCCATCCAAGTAACCAAATGCAAATTTTAACTCATTTCTGTGTTAGACTACTCTTGGTTAACTTGATTCTTCTTTTTGTTTGTTTGTTTCAAGCAGTGAATATTTATTCACAGAAGAATGCTAAAGAAGTGTTGTATAACCATATATCAATAGCTCCAAGAAGCTCAGAAATCTAAATATCTATCTAATATTCCCATAGCTAAACCAGAAACTCAAAATACAAGAGCACCTATTACTGTCAAGAGGGGCTGCTTGTCCTCGAAATCATTTCCTAGTTCTTTCCTTCACAAGCTCCACATGATACATTGTGGAGTAGCTCCACAAAACTACTGTGCTTTCTTCTTTACTGGAATCATACACCAAATAGATTGAAACTCCATGGATGATAAAAACTTGTTGTTCTTTGTCATCATATATCCCCAACTGTCCTTAGCAAATAGAAGCTTAATCATTCCCATGTGCAGTTTTACAAATGAGTGCAATGAACTGTTGGCATGTTCAGGTAGCAAGGCTTCAGGAGCAACTACAGAAGGAGACGGAGTTAAGGATACTCCTGGAAGCTGGAATTGAAGGCAAATTACCTATCTCTTTCAGTATAGATGGGACGGTCAGTTTTCTTTCAACTTGCCAATTTATTGCATAACGCTCTATGTTGCTCGGTCTCTCCGAAAATGTCGCTAGGTGCGTGTCGGATCCTCCAAAAGCAGTGTATTTTTGGAGGACCTGACACGGGTGCGACAACATTTTCCCCGCAACATAGGTAACGCTTGCTTATGCTGAAATTATAATTTTCTTTATGGTATAGATGAAGGAAGAACTTCAGGAGATTGCTCAGGAAGAGGCAGATATCATCAATCTGAAACAGAGGGTTGATGATCTTGGATTGCAGCTTAGTAAACAACGTGAACAAAATTCCAGACTTCGTATTGACTTGGGCAATCAACCGCAGCAAAGTCTCAATAATCACGGAAAAAGGTAATCCTTGTGTTGCTTCTTCCTATATATGTTGTATTTCCATGGTACAATCTTGCTTCAGGTAAGGTTTTAGATTGTTATCCCTACACTTTTTTGTTCTCCAATCTCCCGCTTCTGCAACCATGCTACTCATATCAATGAAAGATAAGGAAGAAAATGGAAGATCTTAGAATGCTGTTTCCCTCTTGTCTGAGTTAAACTCCAAGAATGCACTTGTTTTACATTGCTGCTTGTGTAGGAAGACATTTAGTCTATAGGTTGAATATTAAGGAGTTCTGATGTTTTTAACGCTACGAGCAACTTCATGGTTGTTATTCTATTTCAATTTGCTTTAATTTGTTTCTTATCCTTCACCATCTTGATCTTGGTGCAGCAAGGATAAACATAAGGATATGGAAACGAATGCTTCAAAAACTCTTGAAAAGTCTGCAAGAAGTAAGGTATATATTTCATGGTATCCTTTGACCAAAAAACAAAGTTTTCAGGTTTTGCAACGATTGAATGTAGAGAAACTGCAACCTCATGAAGCTAAGCCAACTGAAAAGTTAACAAGATAGTGGCTGAGTATAGCAAATCTGAATTTACACAGTTGACATTCTTGTGAATCTCTGTACTTCAAAATCAATTGCTCAATCTAACAGGTTAACCTTGCAAGTGAAAGACGACAATTATTTAATTCTTCTGATTATTGTTTTTAGCAAATGCAGATGTTAAAATATTCCCACTTCTGTGCATATTAATTGGATAGAATGTCTCTAACTGATATTGTTGCAACTGTATACATGACCTGTTAGATTTCTTGTTGTATTTTGAGAATGTTGTCTGAAAAGTTTTAGAACTGCATCTGGAGGATATTTGCGATTGTCCCTATTATTTAACCCCTTAGTTGAATTTCCATGAAGTTGGACAATAAAAAGTAAATGAAGATGCTCCATGAGCACATTTCTTTTGTTACTCTTCAACAACAAAAAAATTGGATTAGGTAAACTTTGTGCTCAAAATGGAAGATGTAGCTTGAATTAGCTCTCAAAAGTTTTCCAAAAAGAAATGAATATGTAGCAGTAGCACTTGTGGGGTTATCTATCAAAAAATTACTATCTGTTACAAACTAAGAAAAAGAGAAGGTAAATGACAATCTGTACGTCAATTAACAGGCACAAAATATTTAGATATGCGGTTATATATAAAGATATGTAGTTGTGTCTTTTTCATTTGCAGGTAGTTTTCTACTTTGTTGAAGTTGTTAAATTTTTTTGATGCAGAGCAACACCTATATTTTGTTGCATATGTGGTTCTATTATCATTTCTCTTTGGTGCCGTTCCCAAAACATCTTTTATTTGAGCCTGATTCTATCCTACACAAACAAAAACTTAGAATAGGTTAAGTCAACAATTTGGCAGTAATTAGAAAAGAAGAGGTTAAGAAACATTAATGGGACGTGTAAGCAGTATAAATCTAGTTTAGTTCGGCTGATTATTATACTTTACGGAGTTTGGTGCTATTAATTTGTATCAATTTGTCACCGTGTAGCATAGCCTGGGTCTTAAATTGTTCTTTTAACTGTTGTCTTGAAAACTATTTACCCTAATAATCATGGAACATCCATGTAGTTGCAGTTCATGACTAATGTAGTTTTCTCTGCAGCACGAGACCAATTTGAACAAGGCGGATAGTGAGAAAGACAATAAGTATGAATCTCCATTGTCGGCAAATAAACATCCACAGAGTAAGCAAGCAGATTCATCACAAAGTACTAACTCTTCTGTGGAAGCAGGGATGAGCAGGGCCGCTTCAGCCAGTTGTAGAAAATCTAGTTCTAGGAATGAGGTAAGTTATATGATTTATCTGGAAGTTTGAACTTCTATTTTCTCTTTTTCCTGTGGGCATAAGCAACAAAAGCTGAGTCTCTGCTTGAGGCAATTTATTGAAATTTTCATACTTTGAGATGGCTTCGGCGAGAAATATGAACTAAGGCCTGCCTTTTCTTTAATACTCTCTTCTCCATATCAGATTTTCAAGCACTACTGTTTATACTGCCTTGCTCAGACATTTTAAGATCATTGAACATAAAAAGGATTGTGTTGAGACAGATTCAATACCTGTTGATTATGCATTTGACAGAAGATCTTTTTTGCACATCACAGCAGTATTTGGCATAAAATCTTCTGTATATCTTTAGGGTCTACAAATAATTTATTAAACATCTATGATTGACAGGGAGCTAATGCTACAACATCAGCATTATCAAAGCTGACAAACAGGCTAAACTTCTTGAAAGAACGTCGGACTCAATTAACTGCAAGTGAACTCCAATACCTAGACAAAAGCCAGTCTGGCGAGCCTGTCAAAAACAATGAAAGAGGTAAAGGGTCCGAACCTCACCACCCTGACAAGTTTCAAGCATCTCAAAGCACAGAAAAGAGTACATCAGACAGTCACCACGCTCTTCATCACCCCGACGGTCAGCATCCAGATCGAGGAACAAAACACGAAATCCATCCAAATTTGGACAAAGGAAAATCAGAGAGCTTCCCAAATACAGAAAAAGGTCGAGCTATATTCCCTCCAAGGACAAACTCGAGATGATGCATAGTCATTTTTCAGACTTCCCTAGTTTGCAATATGTCAAACAGCTTCTCAGATATCATGTTAGGCTGAGAGTAGAAGATGATGAGCGCGCTTGTTGCATGACCTTGATTGGTGCCTCGATAATTGATTGTGATGCCAACCTTGCCTAGCTGAGGCTCCATGATGCCTGATACGTACAGGTCCTCTATCCTATGAGGAGAAGTTGAGTGGCATGAAATGCTGCTGAGCTGAAGTTCTGCATTGTGCTTTTCTGGAAATGAAATCAATGCTTTTGTATAGGTATGTCATAAGTAGAAATCTAATTATTTGATATAGCGGATTAAAAGGTATCAGATAGTTTTTAGAACTACTGCAACTCCTTTTCTTGTTTGTCAGTTATAGCCTGACAACCGCCCCTGCTGAAACTAAGATAAGAAAATTTTGTTTCCATTCAATTGTATAAAATGTTGGTTGCTTCCCACTGGAAATAAGGTTTTTTAGGACATATTTAATTTAAGTTTTACCCTACATTACTTCATATTCTCTTGCAATCAATTTTAATAGCTGCGCTCTAATGGCAAAACTGATCAAACAGAGACAATCTTTGGTATGAGAGAAATTTTCCTCATAATTCAAAAAAAAAAAAAAAAAACTCTTCGTAGTAGAGCTGTGCATAATATGATAAATACTGAATTGCCGTACCGAAACCGAAAATTTTGATATTCGATATTGGGTATTTGGTGCGGTATTTGATTCAAGTTTTTAAAAAATTGGTATTAGGTATGATATGTGGTATTTAAAAAAATAATACCGAAATACTGATAACGTACCAAAATATATTCTAAGTTACATAATACTATATATATTACTATTAATTATAACATACTATAAGTTACACAATACTTTTATGTGGCCTTCGTGTTGAGGTCGACAGTATGTAATGTTTCTATAGTTTTAGGGTGTTCCTTACTTTGTTACTCGTGTATTGTTGTTGCATCTATTGGATTAATCTTTATTGTATTCTTTACTCTTTTATGCACCTTTTTTCTCTTAGATGATACTTGCTGGTTTTGAATAAAGATTTTGTTAACAGTCAAATGAGCTAGAACGTTTTCTTATTTGTATTTGTAAGTACTTTAATTAAGAATATTATAGTTAATATTCAAGCCGAACAAAATTGAATACCGGACCGAATAAACCGAAACCGAAAGAAGAAAAGCCGAACCATATCGAATTTAATTAGGTATGATATTGATATAATATATAAAGTAATCGAATAATGAATATCCGAATACCGTACCGTACCAATGGGCTAACACAGTTCGTAGTCGTTAACAACTACATAAGTTTTCAACCGATAATTTTTGACATGTATGCCCTACTACATTCTATTGTTATTTTACTAGGTAGAAAAGTTTAATGTTTTCAAATACTATTTGCATGAAATTCATGCTCTATTACTATTTGTCAGTTAAGATGTAACACTGACTTTAAAAGACATAGGAAATAGAAACAAAAGAAGAATAGAGTGTGCAAATAAAAGGATATAACCAAGACGATTACATATAAAATGAGAGGAACGACTGCATTGAGATTTGAGAATCAACAGTAATGAATACCTTTCTGATGAACAATAAGCAAATCTAGCTGTTGAAGAAGACAGTGATAGTAAAACCAGAGGAGAGGGCGATCAACTCATGCTAAGTTAGTTATCAACTCAAAAGGATCTAAGAAATTTTTATAAGAAAGATAAGTCGACTCATAGAAAGTAACATTTGCAAGGAACTTGAATGAGAACGCTATCTATAACTTACGTATTTATGACAGTACAGCTCTATGTATGTATATGTAAAATAGAAATCTGATATATATATTTTTTGTTTTATCATTATTGTTTTATTCCAGCTTTGAACATTTTACATGTCACGACCCAATATCAAAATTTCCACTACCAATCGGAAAACGCCAAAATTTCAATTTCGCCAATTCAAGCCTAAATCTACCATGGACCTCCAAACTACATACTGATCACCCAAATCACCTGACGAATCTATCCGAACCATAAAAATTAAATTCAGAGATCATTTGCCCACAAGTCAACTTCCGGTTGACTTTTCCAACTAAATAGCTAACTTAAGAGACTAAGTGTCTCATATCTTTCCAAAACTACTCCAAACCCGAACCAACCAACACGATACGATGAAATTTAGCTAAACAACACATAAAGAAGCATAAATGGGGAGAACGGGACTGAAACTCATGAAACGACCGGCCGGGTTGTTACATCCTCTCCCTCTTAAACAAACGTTCGTCCTCGAACGAGTAGAGAAACATACCTGAAGCCTCGAATGGGTGAAGATATCTGCTCCGCACCTCCTGCTCGGTCTCCCAGGTAGCCTCTTCCATGGGCCGACCTCTCCACTGCACTTTCACTGAAGCTATATCCTTTGACCTCAACTTTCGAACCTGACGCCCCAAAATAGCCACTGACTCCACATCATAAGTCAAATCACCGTCTAACTAAACCGTGCTGAAATCCAAAATATGAGACGGATCGCCAAAATACTTCCGGAGCATAGAAACATGAAATACCGGATGCACGATCAACAAGCTAGGTGGCAAAGCCAGCTCATAAGCCACCTCCCCAATCCTCCGAAGTACCTAAAAAGGCCCAATGAACCGGGGACTCAATTTACCCTTCTTCCCAAATCTCATAACACCCTTCATGGGTGATACCTTCAGAAGAACCTTCTCCCCAACCATGTAGGACACATCACGAACCTTCCTGTCAGCATAACTCTTTTGTCTTGACTGCGCTGTACGAAGCCGCTCCTGAATCACCTTCACCTTGTCCAAAGCATCCTGCACCAAGTCTGTACCCAAAAGCCTAGCCTCCCTCGGCTCAAACCAACCAACTGGAGATCTGCACCGCCTCCCATATAAAGCCTCATACGGAGCCATCTGAATACTCGACTGTTAATTGTTATTATATGCAAACTCCGCGAGCGGTAGAAACTGATCCCATGAACCCTCAAAATCAATAACACAAGCGCGCAACATGTCCTCCAATATCTGAATAGTGCGCTCGGACTGCCCATCCGTCTGAGGGTGAAAAGCTATGCTCAACTCAACCTGAGTACCCAACTCCCGCTGTACGGCTCTCCAAAACTGCAAAGTAAACTGAGTACCTCTGTCTGAAATGATGGAAACTAGAATACCATGCAGGCGAACAATCTCTTGGATGTAAATCTCTGCTAACCGCTCTGAAAAATAGGTAGTACACATAGGAATGAAGAGCGCGGACTTGGTCAGCCGATCCACAATCACTCAAATAGCATCGAACTTCCTCAAAGTCCGTGGGAGCCCAACTACAAAGTCCATGGTGATCCGCTCCCACTTCCCACTCTAGAATATCTAACCGCTGAAGCAAGCCACCCGGTCTTTGATGCTCATATTTTACCTGTTGACAATTGATACACCGAGCTACAAATCCCAGAATATCCTTCTTCATTCTCCTCCACCAGTAATTCTGTCTCAAATCATGATACATCTTTGCGGCACCCGGATGGATGGAATACCGCGATCTGTGGGCCTCCTCCAGAATCAACTCCCGAAGCCCATCCACATTGGGCACACATATCCGGCCCTGCATCCTCAGTACCCCATCATCACCAATAGTCACATCTCTGGCATCGCCGTGCTGAACTCTATCCTTGAGGACAAGCAAATGAGGATCATCATACTGGCGCTCTCTGATGCGATCAAACAAGGAAGACCGAGAAATCACACAAGCTAAGACCCGACCGGGCTCCGAAATATCCAACCTCACGAACCGATTGGCCAAGGCCTGAACATCAACTGCAAGAGGTCTCTCCCCAATAGGAATATATGCCAAAATGTCCATACTCACCGCCTTCCTACTCAAAGCATCAACCACTACATTGGCCTTCCCCGGATGATACAAGATAGTGATATCATAGTCCTTTAGCAGCTCCAACCATCTCCGCTGCCTCAAATTGAGATCCTTCTGCTTGAACAAGTGCTGGAGGCTACAATGATCAGTAAACACCTCACAAGACACGCCATACAGATAATGCCTCCAAATCTTCAACGCGTGAATAATGGTGGCCAACTCTGGATCATGAACGGGTAGTTCTTCTCGTGGGGCTTCAACTGACGAGAAGCATAATCAATCACTCTACCCTCCTGCATCAACACACACCCAATACCAACTATCGAAGCATCACAATATACTGTATATGAACCTGAAGCTGAAGGCAAAACCAACGCTGGAGTTGTGGTTAAGGCAGTCTTGAGCTTCTGAAAGCTCGCCTCACACTCATCCGACCACCTGAATAGAGCACCCTTTTGAGTCAACTTGGTCAAGGGCGATGCAATAGATGAAAATCCCTGAACGAACCGACGGTAGTAACCCGCCAAACCAAGAAAGCTGCGAATCTCTGTGGCTGAGGACGGTCTGGGCCAACTCTAAGCCGCCTTTATCTTCTTCGGATCAACCTGAATACCTCGCTGGACACCACGTGCCCCAAGAATGCCATTGAACTGAGCCAAAACTCACACTTGGAGAACTTTGCATAAAGCTTTTCCTCCCTCAACCGCTGCAATACCGCTCTCAAATGCTCCGCATGCTCCTCCTTACGCGAGTACACCAGAATATCATCAATGAATACAATGACAAACGAGTCGAGATAAGGCAGAAACACGCTGTTCATCAAATGCATGAACACTGCTAGGGCATTGGTCAGCCCAAAAGACATCACAAGGAACTCATAATGACCATATCGGGTCCTGAAAGCCGTCTTAAGAATAACCGAGTCCCTGATCTTCAACTGGTGATACCTGACCGGAGATCAATCTTGGAGAACACCCTCGCTCCCTGAAGCTGGTCAAATAAATCATCAATACGAGGAAAAGGATAATTGTTCTTGATTGTAACTTTGTTCAACTGCCTATAATCAGTGCACATCCTCATCGTGCCGTCCTTCACAAATAGAACAAACGCACCCCAAGGCGACACACTAGGCCGAATAAACCCCTTATCAAGGAGTTCCTGAAGCTGCTCCTTCAACTCCTTCAACTCCGCCGGTGCCATACGATACGGTGGAATAGAAATGGGCTGCGTGCCTGACACCAGATCAATACCAAAATCAATATCCCTGTCCGGTGGCATGCCCGGCAGGTCTGCAGGAAATACATCGGGGAAATCCCTTACTACTGGAACAGAATCAATACTAGGAGTCTCTGCACTGACGTCCCTCACAAAGGCTAAATATGATAGACAACCCTTCCCAACCATCCGCTGGGCCTTCAAAAACGAAATCACCCTACCGGGGACAAAATCAGTCGAACCTCACCACTCCATCCATGGTACCCCCGGCATAGCCAACGTCACTGTCTTAACATGACAGTCCAATATAGCCCGACATGGAGATAGCCAATCCATGCCTAATATCACATTAAAGTCCACCATACATAGCAACAAAA